CTTCCTCTCTCCTCTCCCCTTCCCTCTCCCTCGCCCCCCCCCCACACAAGGCACTAACAAACGGCTTACCAAAAATCTAAGGGGACAGATACGATTGAATAAAGGAGGGAAGATGGCTAACCCAACACATGCCACGGTACCAATCGATCAGGAATCACCAAAAAAACTGTCAATGTTATCGATAATGAAGCGCTCAAATTCCTAATCGAAAAGACGAAGGTTCAAGGAATCGACAGATAGTGGAAGGTAAAGAAGAAGAAGTGGTTATATGGAAATACCCGGAAGAGAAAATCGCCGAGCTGGATGAACTTCATGAAAACCACGACGTGGTGTTTAACTTCGCACGCCACGGGGCAGATCTCCAGCCATCGGAGAAAAGAAAATGGGTAATCGATACAATTCGGAAGGAACCAAGATGCAAACTGATAGGTGACACCTTCTCGCTGCAAAACTTGGGCGGGAACAACATCATGGTGTTATTCATCCATGAGGACCACGCGAGGATCGCAACTGAAATGCAATCCAGAACTGCCACGGCTCAGTTTGTACGATCACAAGGTGGAAGAAACTCTCAGCCCAGAGACAGACCCCAGGATTCACAGTCTCCTACAAACAGACCTTAATGAAGGAGAACTTCTGGGTTCAATTCGACAACATTCAACCAGGCTTCCACGGTTTATTGGTGGATAGGCTCGAGAGACAATACACAACGAACAAAGTTATGAAATGGATTCTTCTGGCGCCAGATTTTCTGGCACCTCACTGTGGCACTTTGACAGCAATCCTGGATGTACAGACAGACGATCCCCCTGTTTTACCACAGGTCTGGAAGTTCCAGATTGAGAACAGGGTGATCGAAGTAAGGATCTCTACAAGAGCCTCACCGATTTGCTTTCGATGCAGAGAAAGAGGCCACCTGGGCACTGACCCGAGCTGTCCCAAGTTTCCAAAGCAAGCAAAAGAAAGAAAACTTCTACCGAACATGCTGGTAGAAGTGGAAGATGCTCCCGGTATTTGGTATGTGGCTGATTCTTGCTATGACGGTTGGGTCTTCGATGACAACCTCGATGAACCTGACTGGGTCTGGCACTTCGCTGACCAGTCCCCCCCCACCAAAAAGCCAGACATCTTCCCCCCGGCTGATAGCAGATGGCAAAAGAAAGCAACCGGGAAAGTAAAAGGCAATCCAACGAAGATCAACACCAGCCCCATTACGGATTCACGGGTGATCAGGGAGGAGAAAGCAAGGGAAGATTTGTTATGGGATCTTGACACAATAAGGGAACAGATTGAACAGGAGTACAACAAGGAACCAGCCTCTTTCAGAGAACTACTGAAGCAAGTTGTGCAGCAAACCTACAAGAGAAGAAACAAATCACAAGTCGATAACAAATGTCAACTACAAGGTGATGCTGGATCGTCTGAGAAAGAATCTGGTCCAAAGAGAAGGAGGGCTGAAGAATCAACAGGAAGAAAGGAAACGAGTCTGACAGAAACAGGGGCCGAAGGGGAAGGAATGGACTTGGATCTAACGGGAGGGCAGGCAGACAAAGAATATGACGGGAAGGAAACTGCTCCTGAAACGACCCCTATGGAAGAAGAGGACGCGTCCACGCAGTCCCTGGCTTGGCTCAGAGACTATGTGGAGTGGGCAAAAAGGGAAAGAGAACATGCATTTGACATCCGTGTAGCCTGCTTGAAACACGCAGAGAGATCCCAAGCGAACGTAAAAAGAGATGCATAAGCAGGAAGCAATAGCTCCTCTAACCAGTACGAAATCCTCAGGAAAGTCAAATCTGAAGAATTCTCTGAATATGCGGCTTTCAGATACGCAGAGAAGAAAAGGGCAAGGGAACAAGGAACTGAGGACAAGGACAAGACTATCCCCACAACCAAGGACAACTTCCAGTCTTTTTCCCCTTCCTTAAAAAAATAAAAAATAAAAAAATAAAGTGCGGCAGTCTTGAGATACATCTGCAGGTGACCTGCCCAAGGCAATTCGAGATGATTATGGAAGTTGTTGTTGATCATATGTCATGATTATTGGTTATGATTATTGGTTATCAAGCTTCTGTTATGATAGGTATGTTGAGAGTTTAAGCCTCTTGACGCATTGTGAAATTGGGGGTCTCAACCCTGATAGATAGGCATCCTAATCGAGCCATGAATGTCAGCGATGATGATTCCGACTGAGAATTCAACCTGAAAGAGAATTCTTTAATTGGGGATGTCCCGACCGACCGCAGCAGGACCTGAGCAGCCACTTCCACCTGGCCTGACACTCCCGCGTTGCCACGGGTTACAGGGCGGCACAACTCACCCCAGTGAGCTACCATCGTTGACTGGTCCTGGGCATTCTCCTCATGACGCGAACGGGAATAGAACCCAGCACCCACGTGGTGGTGCTCAGCCATGAAACCTACTGAACTAGACGACGGAGACAGGTGGATCGTCACCTATGCGGTGCCGCTCAGGCATGAAACCTACTGAACTAGCTGGCGGAGACAGGTGGATCGTCTATTAGTTCTCAGATGCTGACGATCATAGAGTCTCCATGCAACATCCGAAACTCGGGTTTTGGAATGACCCATTTCACAATCCTCCTTCTGAATTGCTGGATAGTCTCCCATCAATGGGCCTCACTCCACGGCACAACGTTCTAAATGTACCTGGGCATGTGTTCGGTTTGAATACATTCACAGTTTTCGATCAGTTAAAATGTATCTGGTAATCACTGTCCAGATACTTGTCGAATGTTGAGTAGTGGAGTGTCTCAGTATCTTGACTATCAGACCATGAGCCCTTTGTCTTTTCTTGGTCACTAGTACTTACTAGCAGGATCCATTTGGCTGACCTTGCTTGCAGAAACAAAAGAAAAGGAAAAGGGTGATGTTACGATCCTGGCCAATTTCGAATTGCAAATTCACAAGGACGCACACACACAGACTTAGAAAACTCAGCAAAAAGCGGGAATCTCAGCAAGGCATTCATTCCAGCGGCAAAACTCAGAAATCAGCTGTGTTCTCAGTCCGTGTTTTGGCAGGTCCTTACAGTGACCCTTTCTTTTTTTGCTTTCTTATTTGCACCATCTGTGGGGGGGGCGACTTTCAGAGGTTATAGCAGCATCCGGCAAAGGTGGGAACCCACCCAATATGATGGATCCAATCTATTGGCGGGGAGCTGCACCTGTGGGAAACCGGGTCCAGCATCCCATTCGCTAGATTGAAGTATGAATGAGGAAGACAAAACAGAGAGTAGAGAAGAAGCTACTGCCGCATTGATTTCCCTGGGGGAACCAGCGGATTAACTGCCGGTGCTCTGTGCAGGATGAGAGTGAAAGTCTGCCTCTCCAGCCCTTTGTAGGGCCACCAAAAAGGAACCTGAAATTCTAGCAGATATTTCTATGCAGCCATTCGGCACTCCAAACCTGCTCACCCGCTTCCATACCAGGCAAGGTCCACCAAATAATTGTCTGCAGGGGAGAGAGGTCTGGAAACTCTGATGCCGGTGTTAGAGGGAATGATGCATCCCTGTTTTTTTTTTGTTTTTTTTTTTGAGGGAATGATCCATCCATGTTTGTCCAGTCCTTGTAAACCAAACGCATCCCTTGAAACTTAGATACATCTCCCTATATTTTTGCTATTATCCTTGAGCTTGGGTCGGTCATCCATTCTGCTACGAAGTTCAAAATTCAAATGCTTTTATCTTGGCTTTCTTGTCATTGGGTTCAATACACAATGAGAAAAAGGCTGACCCCTTTGTGTTTTCTTTCCTACGTCTAAAAGGGCCTTTACCCGATTCAGACCCTGTTTGAGAAATGCAGCATAGAGGGGTCACTCGCCCAGAACCCCAACTCGTGAAAAGCAGATCAACAGGCATGTTCTCTGGGTCAAAAGTCACATCTTAACTAAAGTAAAAGTCAATGCTAAAGGTCACAGTTGTGCCCCTGGACGAACAGTTGTAATATTCAGATATGGGAGTCACATCTGTTCATCCAGGGGGTGTGCAGGTCATGTCTGTTCGAGCANTCACAGTTGTGCCCCTGGACGAACAGTTGTAATATTCAGATATGGGA